TGTGTGTGTGTGTGTGTGTGTGTGTGTGTGTGTGTGTGAGTGCCACAGCCAAGGCATGGCCCGGTGCCTGTAACCGTCATTCTTCGTTTGCGGGAATTCTCCTCTGCCAACTATTTGCCCTGCTCTGATGTTTCCGAATGCAGCCGTTAGTGCACTTCTGTGTCTGGAACAAGTGCATTGTGTGGGCCGAACTGGTCCCTGGGAGGGGTCAGTGCCATGAAATCTGCTGGGAGGAGGCAGGTCAATGCCCCTTTGGCAGGAGGGAGAGCGGATTAGGGCGGATTGTGAAAGTATGCATCTTGCTCTGAAAAACTGTGCGTTGCATATTTTCCCAGGGCAGTGTGTGAAAACCCAGGCATAATGGATGCATAACTTTTTATGAATGAACCCTTTATGACTCCCCGTGGAGCCCACTTGTAGTGTCCTCATCTGCATTTCCTCTTCTTGATATCCTTATTAAACTCCTCCTCCAAAGCCGGGAACCAGATTCCGTTGAGGAATTTGACACCTTTTCTGAGTCCAGTTTCTCCCCAGCCTGTTAGTTTTCTTGGAAAGGGGCTGTTTGGGTCCCACTTTTTCACAAAGTGATTAAAGAGAAATGAAAGCAGAATGAGAGCATGTCATGGCCAGTTAGAGCTATCAAATTGAGTTTTCAGTTTCAGGGGTCACTTACGAGATTGCACCTGAAGTGGGGAGGAACGTGGCCGCAGAGAGAATTTACCCAGTGATTTGAAACACTGTCCTGCTAATTGGATCCCCCTGCCTTATTTCTGCAGGAGGAATTACTCTGACAATGCACTTTTGTATGCAGAACTGTCTTTGAGTATTCTGTACCACCTCACTGCACACAAAAGCCCTTTTTCCCCCTTTCCCTGAAGTGGGGAGGGAGGTTCAGAAAGGCCAGGCTGGCCAATCAGTGTCGCGTGGCCCTACCACCGGGGCTCCCTGGGCAGGGGCAGCCTCTCAAGTGAGCAGAAATGACAGCGTGAGTCAAACAGCCAAGCCCGGCGTCACCACAGACTTGCTTTATGGTTGGAGGCTTTGATCTATCATTTCTAAGTGTCCGTGTCCAAACTGGGAATGATGTTTACATTCCCAGAGAGCAGATTTCATGTCTGTTTACCCAAAAGTGTACAGTGTTCAGAATCACACCTTAACAGAGAAGTTCCTCTCGATGATGGTGGCAGTGGTGATGAAGAAGGTGAAATTGATGATGAAGGTCAAGGGCTCAGACTGCCAAGGTTCAAATCCTGCTTCCCTTACAACTTTGAGTATAACTCAAGTTGAATGTAACTCGACTCAAATTCTTCAACCCTCAGTTTGCCCATAAATGAGATGAATAATAAACAGTCCCTAATTCAGAGGGTAGGGGGAAGCAGTTAGATCATCCACGCAAAACGCTGGGGAGAGGGTCATGCTCAGTAAAAAGGGGCTTTCATCGGGACCGTTATGGCGAAGATAAGAACATTAAGGAAATGGGCAGGGGACAAAGTAAAGGGTTCTAGGTGAGAATTACAAGGTGATTTGGGGAGAGAAGTTACTTAGGAATATTTGTAACTTACCCCACCAAGCCTGGCTTTGCCAAAGCAGTGATTCCAACCCCCTCCAGAGTAGTGAGTGAGTAGACCCAGGTTGTCCTGTGGCCCAGCCGTGGGTGGTTCATCTCATCCAGTTACGTTCTTAGGCAGCAAGGCAGACGTGGGAAGTTCTTCTCTTTTTTGGAAACAGTCCCCAGTGGCTGTGACAGCTGGGGTTTTAAAAGGAGAAATTTGGACTTGAAACTCAGTTTGGTCAAGAAGGAATTCCTTTTGTGATCCCATATTGTTTAACTGCTGTTCAGCAGCTCTGTCTCCTCACTGGTAAGCAGTACTTACTTGCCCATGCTTATGTGTTGTTTTCCAAGAATTAATTGACACTAATTGGCCATGCCAGAGTAACCATTACTGAAAATTTATAGGCTTCTGATGGAGTTTTCCTTGCCAAATTCTTGGCAGAAGTCTCAGCTCATCTCACTTGATATTAAGCTCATCAAATCCAAAAAGCTGCAGGTGGCCAGAATTGGAAGGGAGCAGAAGGAGATTAGCAACTTCTACCCCATGTGTCCCCAAAGAACGTGTCCGCAGTTGGCCATCAGGAAACGTCCATCGTAGCCTTTATTCCTCCCTCAACCTCACTCCCCCATTTCTCAGAAGGGCAAAGCAGAATTATAACTTCAGGTGGTTGATACAGTGCTTAATATGGTGCTGGCAATAAGGGAGCACCTGCTTAATATCTGTTGAATAGACATAAAAAATATTGAGATACAAATCACATACTGTATGATTCACCATTTAAAGGGTACAAGTCAATAAGTTTTAGTGTGCTCACAGAGTTGTGCAACCAACCATCACCATAATCAAGTGTAGAACATTTTTATCACCCAAAAGGAAACCCATACTCATTAACAGGCATGACGTCCCATTTCCCCCATATCAGATGGATTTTTGAGCGACCTACGCAGTCAGTGCTTGAGAGAACCATGGCTTCCGGTCCAAATAGACCTTGACTGGTCTGTGTTGTGAACTGATCAGTACAACCCAGCCCATGTCGCACCCTATTCCCATCCCCACCCTTGCCACGGCTGCCATCTTTACACGACATTGGGAATTATAGGGCCAAAGATTACCATACATTGGGAAGTCACGGCCTTCCGCCTCTTCCTGTGTGAAAGATCCAAGTATCAGACTCATACCCAAGTGTCAGAGAAATACACAGGTATTTGTATTTTTCAATAGCAGAATTTCAACGGCAACTATGAGCCCCTCTCTATCAGGTAGGGGAAATTAATTTTGGTCAGTTTGTGTTTTCTTCCCCTGAGGTGGGGGTGCCAGTAAGGGGTGTATACATGTGCCACGGCACGGTGGCAGGGGGGCATCCGTATTGCCATCTCAGTTGGCATCGCTGAGCGTCCTCATGCCTGTCTGGTCTCCAGTCCTCTATCTGAGCAAAGAATCCTCAGTGGCTGCTGTGCCTCCTTCTTGTCTCAATTCTAGGCCAGTTCAGATTGGTGCCAAGTCCATGTCTCCCTAGAAGACATTCAGTGGGTGATGTTCTATGGCTCCCCACATCCTCTGGACTATGGGAAGTTCACTTCCATATCCCTTTGCCTGAAGAACTCTGCATGCCTGTATCCTGGCCTAATGTCTGGATGAGCCATGCACACACTCCCGTTCTGACCCCCGGTGGGGCATGGGGATCAAAGATCTTGTCGCCCTTCCAGGCTCTGCCCAGGGACTGGGGGCGCAGTCCTGTCCTTCTCCCAGACCCTCAAACCCACTTGAGGTCTCTATCATCCTTTTCCATCAAGGGTCTTAGCTCAAGGTGGGACAGGGCACAGGGTCCTTCCAAAGCATCCCTTGTGCCCTCTCTAACCCTCTCCTCCCTAGTCCCCTCACTCATCTATTTTAGGAATCTTTCTAAGACTACCAGGATGGAAACATGTGCTCTTACACATCGTGTGTTCTCCCAAGTCTTTGTAATTGTGACTGGGCTTGGGAAGTTCAAAAGCCAAGAAGGTTTGATTTTTTTTTTTTTTTGTCATGTGTTCTCTGGCATCTCTTCTCTGGGGCGAGGAAAGCAGACTCTCTTCCTAAAGGCATGCTCTGCCCCCAAAGAAGGGCCATATATGTAGTGGGAGACACCAGGGGAGGAAAGGCTCATCACTATCTGGGACCATTATCCCACCACACCTTCAGCACCTGGGCGGGACCCACCTGGCAGAGGAGGGGTGCCTGAGCTACGCTCCGGGGACTTGGATTGGTTGGAGTCTGGCATTCTCTTGAAGTCAGCCTGAAGGGGACACACAGGCCGGGTGACTGCTTCCTTCCATCTGTGACTCCTGCATGTGCTGCAGGAGAATCGCCACAGCTAGGGTTACCGCTCACCTTGAGGACGTTTGGAGAAACGCGGCCTCGTGTCTGTAAGGAGCTGCTTCCCGCCCTGCCCTGCCGGCGGCCTGACCGGTCTTCTCCACTTCCCAGGCAGGTTTTGTGGTGACAGGGCCCCGGAGCCCCTCACCTCCACGGACAGCCGGCTCTGGGTGGAGTTCCGGAGCAGCAGCAGCACCTTGGGCAAGGGTTTCTTCGCGGTGTACGAAGGTTTGTTCACGGCAGGGGGGGCTCTCGTTCCACCTCTGACCTTCCTTCCCACGCGGCCCGCTGTCCCTCTTGCACCCACGCACGCGTGGCAGCCGCCAGAGCCGTGAGGGGTAGGGGCAACCACCGCAGGGGCCGGGCTGAGGATCCCCAGGTCCGCAGCTGTGCTCACGTCACGACAGGTGTCGTCCACCTGTCACCACCCGCTGGACTCCACTCCAGTGGGGCTGGGGAGCGTGTCCCAGGTGTAGAGCCCTGAGGAAAGGAAAGCAGCCTCTGAATAGCTGTGTGAGCCCGAGAAAAGAACCTGACCTCTCTAGGCCTCTGTTTCATTTATGAAAAGAAGACTTTGGACAATATCAGGGTATTTACAAGGACACTTTTTTTTTTTTTTT